AAGGGAGTACGTGATCCTCCCGGTCACGTGAGGGTGACCAACAATTGAATAAACTCATGACCCTTGAATAAAAAAACATGGTGATTATTGCAGACACTCATAACAATGAGGGCACATTAAGTGGTTACACAAAAACAGTTCGTCAACAAGTGCAAAAAAACACATTTGCAGATAGAGCCATCGACAATGACACAAAAGTACCCCTGATGAGCCCATTAGGGTATAGTGCAATGGTTGCCTGCGCCTTAGGCAAGAGAAGGCATCAAGTGTAAAGGTGCAATTACATTCAATAGCCCGATAATAACACTCGGGGTCAAGTAATAACATGGTCAGAAAGATTCACAATAACATACAGTATCGACGAAAAACATTCGGTACCGATAAGGCACACAAAAAATTGCAAGGTTCAAGCAGGGCATGAGCCCAGAACTGCCCTCCCAAAGGCCATGTCAGGTGTATACCTGGTGTTCAGTCTGTAATGTGAAACAAATGTCTGAGGATTCTTCCAAATGGCCGCCTTGCAAATAGCGTCCAGGGGAATCCCCTTAAGAAAAGCCGTGGAGGCCGCCATAGCCCTGGTCGACCGAGCCCGGACGACCGAGGGGGGTTGTCTTCGAGCCAACTGGTAACAAAGCTCGATGGTCGAAGTGATCCAGTGCGACAAGCGTTGCGCCGTGATCGGCAGGCCCACCTTATCCGGGGCATATGCAGCAAAGAGTCTCTGAGTCCGTCGAGACTGAGCAGTCCTGTCCTTATAACACAGCAAAGCTCTCCGCACATCGAGCATATGAAGTCTCTTCTCCTCTGGGGTAGAGGGGAGCTGACAGAAGGATGGGAGGATAATGTCCTCATTAACATGGAAGGGGGACACAACCTTAGGGAGGAATGTCACATCTGTGCGGAGAACTGCTCTGTCCTCGTGGACAACAAAGTAAGGTTCGTCCACCCGCAATGCCGCGAGCTCCGACGGTCGTCGTGCCGAGGTGATAGCGACCAGAAAGGCCACCTTCCATGACAACAGCCGAAGATCGATCAACGCCAACAGCTCGAATGGTGGTTCTGCGAGCCGAGCCAGCACGAGGTCGAGGTCCCATCCCGGGGTCGGAGAACGAACCGGGGATGCAAGTTGTTGAAACCCCGTAAAAAGGATTTCACAGAGCTGTCCTTAAACAAGGAGGCTTCACCTGCCCGCTGCAGCTGTCG